CATTATTAGGCTTAAATGTTGATTCACTTTAATTACTCTATTCAAATTCTAATGAAATTTCTATTAGATTTTCGTTCATTTTTAGTTTTTAGTTTAACCCATATGGTAACAATAACAGCATATGGTTAAGTACAAAATATTTTTAGATTTTCTACTACCAACATTATTTACTCAAAATTAAGAGAAGTTAAGAGAGAAGAGCATTCTTTCAGTTCCAGAAATATTGCAAACAAGATGTCTATAAACACCTAGAAATTCTAAGTCAAGCATTGTATTTATCTTTTCAAATTAATACTGAAGCTTATAAGAAAATTAGGAGAATATCCTGGGGTTATTTTTCTAGATGTTGAAAATCAGAGTTAAATCCTGTGAGTGGAGTGATGGTCTGTGTCAATCTAAGCAGTCTTGGTCCTCTGCAATGCAGAAAGCTCAAACCAAGATTTCCCACAAAAATTCCAGCGTCTCCAACTTTCTGAAGGGCTAATCCTCAGTAAAAAGCTACAGGAAGGAATGAATGAAAGAAAGAAAGACAGGTGGATAGCAGGAAGGAAGGAAAGGAAAAAGAGAAGAACAGAGGGAGGGTGGTAGAGAGGGAGAAAGAAAGGAAGGGAGGAAGAAAGATGACAATGAAGTTTATCAGTCTTGGCTTGAACACATAAAGAGAAAAAAAAAAAGATGTCTCAACTGAAATGTCACAACCCGACAGAGACTTGTTCATACAAGGGTTTAGAACTAGAATTTATGTTATCTACATAATCCAGAGATTCCCCCCAAGACAGTAGCCTAAAAAAATGGCCCCAGCCTGGTTGTACCTCAAGGATACTTAGCAGAAACAAAGACAAAACTCTTTGGAGAAACATGCCCTAACCTCAAACTTCAAGAATTCCAATAGATAAAGTCCCACTGTAGAAGAGGACACATTTATTTATTCCCAGACACTGTGCTTGGTGTTCGGAACATATGGTGACAAAGCAGATACAAATTGGTTCTTACAGACTAAACTGAGTTTTTATTTTAAAATAGTTACTCTGGATTTTGTGTCCTAAGTAGATTGAAGTGAAGCAAGGCAAAAAAAGATATTAATTAGGGACTACTGCAATAATTCAAGAGAAAGAAGATAGTGTCTTGGATCAGGCTAGTAAGAGTAGAATTTTAAAAAACATTTTGAAGATAGAAACAATAAGATTACCTCAAGACTGCATGTGAGGACTGGGAGAAAATTATTATGGATAAAATCAAGATGTTTTACCTGAACAAAAAAGTCACCAAGGATTGAGTAACCATTAATTTGAAGAATACATAGGGAGAAGTAGATTTAAGGGGAATAGAAATGACATTCAGAAATATGTTTGAGATGCTGAGGTTATCAAGGAAACTTGTTGAATAAGCATTTGGAAATGAAAATTTAGAGTTAGATAAAGAAGTCCAGGCTGGAGATAAAAATATGGAATTCATCAGCCATTGATATTTAAAGTCTGAATGAGACCATTTGAAAAGTAAATAAAGGTAGATTAAAGACTAAACTCTGTTCAGTAGCCAGTGAAGCAGGGAAAAGATTAAAAGATTTTGGAGCTTTGGAAATGGTCAACTACAGCCAATTTTCTGATAAACCAAGTAAAAATGTGGACTAAAACCAAATCATTGAATTTAGCAATGTGAAATAATTGATGAACTTCCTAAGAGCTGTTTTATTAAACTGAATGGGGAGAAAGCCTTATCAGAATAAGATCCAAAGAGAATTGGAGACAAATAAAGAAATTAAATGTAGACAAATCTTTCAGGAACTTTTACTGAATAGACAAACAGAAGTGGGTCAGTAGCTGGAGAGAAGTGTGACTCAAAGAGACCCTTTTTCATAATGAGATAAATTATGCAGTGTTTCTATGTCTATAGAAATGATCCCATAGATAAGAAAAAACTGATTAATCACAAAG